CTGCTCCGTAGTTAGAAATCCTTTTCTAGAAAAAAGTGTAGGAAGTGTATGTTACATACTAAATTATAAAATAGGCTTCGATAACTTTATCTGCTGTTAAACATGCCAAAGAATTAATTTCATTCTTAAACTCACCGAGTACTTCCTTAAAGGGATATTACCAGGTTCAGCAACACAGAAATTGCCCAGCCTTTACCGCAGTCCTATTTTAAGGACTTCACCACGGAAACAGTTATTGTTATATCTAAATACATAACTAAAAGCATTACATGTAAATATGTATATAAAAATGCTTAGTAATGCCCGTGTGTATTTAGATACACGTGTGCACATGTGTATCTGTAGAGGTGCGGTGTGTAAGTTTTGTGGCATTTATCTTTTTTTGTATTACCTCCAACATTCAGATGCATTTGCTTTGTTTACTCCCAGGGCTTTTCCCTTGTCTTCTCACCAAAGCCCAGTAACCTTCACAGTCTGCCCTTAATGTTAACACATGAAGGGTTTGGAAGAAGATAACCCTGTACAAGACACCTCACGGAGAACTGCATGTTTCCTGTGTGAAAGCGGAGAATATGGAGCTCTGGGTTGACATTTTTTTGTACATTAAAACAACTGAAGCTTTTTATGGTGGAGACAGAAAGTTTGTCAAAGTGTCAGAATTAAGAAAAAGTCACTCCTCGCATAGATTGAGAGTAATGTATAAAATCCTTTTGACAAATCGTCAAGTGCCTGTGCAGATTATGAAGCACTGATGGAGGATGCTTCCAGTGCCAAACCGCCCTTAACAAAGAGGCTTCTGCAGTCTACAACCTCAGCTCTCTGGAGAGATGCAAAGACACTGATTTAATCTGAGGAGACACCACCTATGCAATCCTAGAAACTAAGTCGAAACCCAGACAGATTGGCACACGGTGATTTCTGGAGTCACTTAACTGCAATGTCTTCTATAAAATTATGCCAAACCTTAAGATTTGATATGAGCAGACACATGCTGAAGTTTTTCAAGTTAAGAGATGGCTTGATAAGGGAAAGCACTACATCAACCTTTCCTCTTGGAAAACAGAAAGGCAAGCCCTATCTCAGTGTCTGCCTGCATTTCTCTTATCAAAAGAGATTAAAACTTAAAGCACAACTGTAGCAGCAGCTCAAGAAGAGAAGACTAAAGTTGTTACTGCATTTCTAATTTCAATTTGTTTCTTTGTGTCCATGGGGGACATGCTTCCACTTCTGAAATCGAAGCAGACATTTTAGCAATTGAGCTACTCACAGGCCCAATTTCTTTTTCTGAATGCTCAAATACTTGATCGGCACAGCAGTGCGATGAAGCAAAAACAGGGCTCAGTTGTGAAACAGATGAATGTGCACAATCTCTGAAAACATTTGTATGCGCTACAGCCTTTGTTTCTATTAGCTTTTATCATAGTAAGCCTATAGGAGAAAAAGTTTCTTTTAAGTAAAACATTTACAACAGAGAGCTTACAGGTTCCATTTCAGATTAAAGCTAAGACTGTGTGTTATGTTGGAAATCACTTCTTCTGTTTTCAACCAAAAATACACTTCTCCCAGGGGAAGTGAAGGTATATTCATTTTATTGGTTTGATAATAAAAAAAAACCATGAGGGAAGAATGAAATGAGGAGATTACTCCCAGTTCACAGAATAGATCCCTACAATCAGGTTCATGTAATTGCTGCTGTGTTGCTGTACCAAGACTCCTTCCTTTCTCCCTCACAACTACTTTTCTCAACAGAACCTCTGTTACGAACCTATTCATTTTCTCCCTAGAAAGACAAGTCAGAGATTAAGACAAAGACTAAGCTGTTCTTGACTAGAACGGTAAGAATTCCCAAAATACAATTCTTGTTACCTATTCTGTAGAATGACCTCCTGGTTTGATGGATTTATGAAACAAAATGAAGGGACGATAAGTAAGGTTAAAGATCTTAGCAATTAAACAAGGCTGGAGAAGGCGAGGAATGATTCTCAAGTAAGGAGCGTGATTCAGGTTCTTTTCAGAACAGTTTATTATTTTCTGTATCTTGTGGGTAGAGATCTGCTAGAGGATCTGAGCAATGACACATTACTCCTTTGAGAGTATGAGTTTGATCCCGATAATCTGCTCTAACATCAAACATCCCTGCCATAGGGATTTATGCAAGTCATTAAAGGCTTTTTATTCAGAGTTTATTGTACAAAATACTCCTCAAAGTACTTTAATTCCTCTTAAATGAATTAGGCAAGCATCACAAATTTTACGCTATAAAAAGTGGCTCCCATTGAACGCAAGATCGGCCTTTTCAGAAAAGCCTGCTGCCTCCCATTCACCGCTACTGAAGCACCAGCATCTGCGAGCTCTCAATCATCTCCTCAAGTGCTGGCCTGACCCCGTTTCCCACGTGGGCGTACAACCTCAGAGATCTGCATGTGAAATGAGTGACTCACTTGCAAGCTGACCTGATTTCATTAATAAGGTAATGGGTTAGTATCTCAAAGAAGACGGTGCAGTTATCTTCTCCAGAGCAGGCATTTTTGATCGCGATGCGACTGCTACAAGCATTAGTACAAAAAGCCACAATGCCAGCCTGAAGGAGGGAGCAACTACATATAACTCATTTGGAAATCAAATTTCTGGATGCTGCAGCAGCCAGGTTACAGGACCTACAGGACTACAAATCATCTTACACAGCCAGTTAGCAAAGATGACCTGAAGCTACCCTTTAGAATGAAAAGAAAAAAACCCCACACATCTATAACAGAAAGGATCATGCACACACACAAATCTTTTTTAAGCTCTATTTTTAATGAGGTGCTGCAGCAGAAAACTGATTTTAAAAATCATTCAAATTGAAATCTTAAGCTTACAACGTTCCTTTAACTCAAACTGGTGAAGTGCTTCCTGGCACAGATGCCTAACTATTAACTTGGCATCTTAATCCCGGCTGCACATCGAGCATGGAACAAGCGAGAGCTCTGGAGATAGAATCTCCTTTGGCGTGATCACAAATCATAAAGATAATGGCTTTCCACTTATAAAGATTTTTGGAAAGCCATTTTGCTTCTGAGCCAGTAACCTATGTTTGGATTTGGATATCTTATATTTAAAGAGGATGCATGCCTGCTAAATCTTAAAAAAGAATGCAATGGCGGAACAGTGAGGAAAGGGGAAATCAAACAGCTGCTTTTGATGAAGAACACAGAGTGGATGCATATAACCCCCTCTACCACCGAGTGATTTTAGTCTTCCACCTTGAGCAGCCTATCACCGCTCCTCCTCAAGCAGTCACGAACTCGAAAATGAAACACCCCACCTGCTCTGAGATAAGAAATGCATGAAACCAAGAAGTATTTCCTGCTTAAAATACAAAGTTTATGGTCGTTTCTCTTTTGGGCTAGAGAACTGGTCTGTCTGGAAAACAAGGCAAATTCCGTATTTTGATTTATTTAGCATAGCATGGAGAGTCCAGAGATGAACTTCGTGCTTCATTACCATTACCAGCATCTCTCTTCACATGCAACATTATCTCATTTCTTGATCAAGAAAAGGGAAAGACCTCACTAAAGGCATGTAAAACAAGTAAGTTTGTAGAACTAAGGTTTTAGAACACAGGAAAAGCTTTTGTGCTGACTGGGATGAGCAAGGAACCTTCCTAATTTATTTATTTCAGTGAGAAAGGAACAGCAAAAATGTTTGTAGGGACAAGAGAATTTTGACCTTTTATCAGTCCATCACCAGGAGAAAGGAGAAATTCTCTTTGCACAGAACTCAGAGCTGTGGTATTCAATAATGTACATTAAAAAAACCCCGAAAATGGAAGCCAAATTTCTGTTACAAATTAATGACAGAAACAGAGTAGGATTAACTCTCATTAATCTTCAACACACAGAGGCACTGTGTCAATTTGTAAGTTTGGACAGCTTCACATCAGCTGAATCTGGGTGTTTAAGGTCGCACTGGACTGGGACAGTTCCTACATTAACACACGGACAGCGACCAACCAACCTGCCCTCGCCGCTGCTGGCACGGAAGGGCAGCGCTCTGCAGCGTTCACACACGCACAGCACACAGGCGTTTTGGCGTAAATCTAGATCAAAGTGTAAATCTAGTGCAAGTCATAATAAAAAGTTTAAAATGAAGTTTAGAAATGTTTAATGAGCCAGACATTTTGGTCACTGCCTTATTTGGTATTTAAATCACAAGCCAGGATTTGCAAAGCAGGCAGAAAGTGCACCACGCCTGTTTACAATAACATCTTCTGCATGGTTTGGTTTCTTATCTACCTTTGCCTTTATTTGTCCTGAGTTAGGAGCTGTACGATACATTCATGGAAGAAAAATATTTGTAGGCAAATAATGCTTGATTGCTAATTTACTGCCAGATCTCCAATAAATGATGATGTAGAAATGGTCACAGAACGGAAGACCGGGTTGTCAATTATTTAAGGCAGAATGAATTATTTACTAGTGATTAGCAGCTGGTCAGGAGCCTGCTAAGCTGTTGTCAGCACTGGGCGAGATGTTTGTAATTCTTAGCAACACAGAAGGTTGGGTGATTTCACAAACTAGTAACAAACCACTAAGGATCCAAACTCAGGCTCATCCTAAGACATTAAGTGATCACCATGCTTTGATATTTCATGCAGTCCCTTCTCAGAAAATTTCCTTTAGTGTTTTAGTTTGGGGGGGAAAAAAAAAATCAAGCTGCCTGTGTTCTTTTGGCTTTAACTTTCCATTCTGGATTCAGTGAACTGGAATTCTGTTATGAAAATGAAGTTATCTTTCATTAATCAAAACCATACTAAAAGAAAAACACATGTTAAAAAACCAAACAAAACCAAACAACCAAACAACAAAAAAACAACCCCAAACCACCAAAAAACCCCCCACCAAAACCTCAACACTGGAGTAAGTGTTAACTTCCTGGTGGATAAGTATCTAACATGAAAGCAGAGTTACCATCTCTTTGCACTTAAAACCCACACATTTTCTAAACTACCACAGCATTCACATTTTTTAAAGTCATTTTGCTTTGATACATGTTCGCAGTAAAAGCTACATGCTCCTGAATACACATTTGTTAGATGAATTACTGAGTCACGTATTCACAGGGTCATTAGTTCAACCAAGTACAACATCACTCCAGTATTGCTCCCAAATTGGTAATTAGCAAACACTTCTCTAACACCAAAGACCAATGAAGAGACTTTAAAAATGGTATTACAAAACTTGTAATAAAACCATGAGAAATTCAACACTGAAATAATCAGAGTGAATCTTTAACATGTTTATTTTTAAGTGGCTATTAATAACCCAGGAAAATACTTTTGTTTGTGTGTTTAAAAGTCTGAGGGCTAAAATTTCATTTCCTCTCAGTGCTATGACTTGCTATTCTGCCTCGGCAAGCTGAGGGTGGCAGACAGCACCCAGACTGCCATCGCCAGCACTTCTCCATCCCAGGGAAGCAGCTGGCGCCACAGCCAGCTTTTTTGGCTGAAGCTGCTCTGCCACAGGGAATTCTCACCTGGCCAGCTGTGTCTGGCACCCAAGCCAGCACACTTCTGAAAGGTGCGAATAAACCAAGAAAATAGCTCACCGTGTACAGATAATGATTTTAAAACTGCTACTACTAGAAAAACAAAGATGCTATTTTATATAGCTCCTCTATAGTTCTATATCCTAGAAATCAAATTTAAAAAGAAAAGAGCATTACACAACTCAGTGACTGCAGCATCAGCTCTCTGACAATTTTTGATCATATCCAGGGCATCGGTAAAGGAAACTGTATGCACAAGGAGCTTGAGCACAACTTGCTGAAGCGATCTGTTGAATTCCCAAGTGTATTACTCCGGATGCAAAGTTTCGCTACATATAATTGACTGAAAACGTTTCCACCCCTAAACATAAACCCAGTAATTTTATATAAAGCTTACCTAAAGTTCTGTGCCAAATCTGGATGAAAAGTTTCCATGGAGCTGAAATAAAAAAGCATTGGTATCAGAAGGAAAGTTAAAGCATTCTGCCAGAATTTCAGTTAGCATTTTAAACTTTTCTATTATGTAGCCCACAGGACCGATAATTGCATTGCACGCTTGAGGAGCTTCAGACAAAATTCGTTTAAATGTGACTTATCTGCACTTTTTGCTTGGAAGGAGCAAACCCAGTGAGACACAGAGATGCAAACACCCCTAAAGGGTAACTGATGATAACGCAGTCAAGATGATGTCTGTAACGAGCACTTGTTAAACAATCCACCTCAGAAACATGGAAAAGCCGTTTCAGAACTTTAAAACCCAGTTATGCCTTCATCTTATCTGAACACACAATACAACGATTTAAAAAAAACTCAAAAACCAAACCCCGACCACCCCCAGACAAAATTTAGACAAATAAAACAAATACAGGGCCTATTTTTGAAAATGCCATTATGGAAAATAAGTAAGTAGTTCAAGCAATTTTTGTGTTTATTCACATTACAACTTCTCTACTCCAATCATGTATTACAACTCTCAGGACTAGTTACTTTTGGAAAAAGAAGTAAAGAAATCTGCAGAATGGATTTGTCTGTGATGCATACAACGTTGCAATTACCACTGTGACAAAACACTATCCAGCCTAACGATAAAGAGAGGAACAAAAAAGTTACTATTAACAAACAAAGGTTATGGGTCTCACTAATTAAAACTGTATTAGTTTTGTTCACAATCAATTCCATAAATCACTTTTTCAGATCTGCAGCTGAACAGCTTTGTCTATTTAAATATTTATTTTTAAAAGATGAAATCATGAAATCACAGCATGGTTTGGGTTGGAAGGGACCTTAAAGCTCATTCAGCCCAACCCCCTGCCATGGGCAGGGACCCCTCCCACCAGACCAGGCTGCTCCAAGCCTCATCCAACCTGGCCTTGAACACTTCCAGGGAGGGGGCATCCACCACTTCCCTGGGCAACCTGTGCCAGTGTCTCACCACCCTCACAGTAAAGAATTTCTTCCTAATATCTACTCTAAATCTACCCTCTTCCAGTTTAAAACCATTCCCCCTTGTTCTATTGCCACCTGCCCTTGTAAAAAGTCCCTCCCCAGCTTTCCTGTAGGACCCCTTCAGGAACTGGAAGGCCACAATAAGGTCTCCCCAGAGTCTTCTGTCCATGATCCCTGTACTTCGCCCATTAATGGTCACAGAATCACAGAATTATTGAGGCTGGAAAAGACCTCAGAGATCATCAAGTTCACTATGACCTAACACTACCACATCAGCTAGACCATGGCACTAAGTGTCACATCCAGCCTTGCCTTAAAACTCCACCACCTCCCTGGGCAGTCCATTCCAATGCCTGATCACCCTCTCCATGAAAAAGTGCTTTCTAATACCCAGCCTAAACCTCCCCTGACACAGCTTCAGGCTATGCCCTCTCATCTTGTCGCTAGTTGCCTGGGAGAAGAGCCTGACCCCTATCTGACTACAACTCCCTTCAGGTAGTTGTAGAGAGTGATAAGGTCACCCCTAAGTCTCCTCTTCTCCAGGCTAAACAACCCCAGGTCCCTTAGCCTGTCATTATAAGACTTTCCCTCTAGTCCCTTTACCAGCCTCATTGCTCTCCTCTGGACCTGCTCCAGCACCTCAATATCCCTGAAGTGAGGGGCCCAGAGCTGTACACAGTACTCGAGGCCAGGTCTCACCAGTGCTGAGTACAAAGGGAGAATTACATCCCTAGTCCTGCTGGTCTCAGTATTCCTGGTATAGGCCAGGATGCCATTGGCCTTCTGGGCCACCTGGGCACACTGGTGACTCACATTCAGTCGACGGTCAATCAGTACTGCCAGGTCCCTCTCTGCTGGGCCTCTCTCCAGCCACTCTTCCCTCAGTCTGTAGCACTGCATGGGGTTATTGTGGCTGAAGTGTAGGACCCTGTGCTTGGTCTTGTTTAACTGCATACTGTTGGTCACTGCTTCAAACCACAGGCAAAACTACACTATCATTAGCAACATTTCTTAAGATAATGTTTCTTTAACATTCATACCATCCATGCAGTGGTCAGCAAAAGCTGATGCTATGAATTGACACAACAGCAAGGTCTCCACCTCTCTGCTTGGGAACGGGCTTGCCCAGTCCCTTAATAAAGTTGAAATGCAGGGAAAATCCCAAGTTTTGTGTGTGCTTTTCTACACAAAGTCTTAATATAGAGCTTATGCAAAAGCTGATTTAGTAATCACACATATAATTACTTCTAGAATTTTGTCATTGAATAAGAAATTAGGAGTTATAATTATGGCACCAAATCTTCTGATTTTCTTCTGCGACAAAACTCCTTTGACATGGATGCACCAAGGTGTCTTCAACCAATCACTCAAGGGAATCTCAAGCACTGTGATACCTTTTTCATGCTTTGGCTTCACTGCCTGTCTTTGTATGAAGACTTTTACTACTACAAATACATTGTATATTGCCCTATTTTAAAAGGCTATGCCACAAACCAGCATTTAGTTATACCATGCTAGCTCCATGCAGACACACTAGCACGCACAGAGCTGAACGAGCTGCAAGAACCTCTGCGTGGGGGGAGTTAGGGAAGAGTAGCCAAGAAGCCAAGAAACAGCATCAAGGGTTTCACACACAGAATCACAAAATGTTAGGAGTTGGAAGGAACTTCGAAAGCTCATCCAGTCCAACCCCTGCCAGAGCAGGATCACCCAGACCAGGTCACACAGGAACACATAAAGGCGGGTTTTGAATGTCTGCAGAGAAGGAGACTCCACAGCCTCTCTGGGCAGCCTGGGCCAGTGCTCTGTCACCCTCACAGTAAAGAAGTTCTTCCTCATGTTCAGGTTGAACCTCCCATGTTCCAGCTTGCTCCCATTGCCCCTTGTCCTGTCATTGGACATCAGAGAGAAGAGCCTGGCTCCTTCTCCTGACACTCGCCCTTTACAAATTGATAACCATGAATGAGGTCACCCCTCAGTCTCCTCTTCTCCAAGCTAAAGAGACCCAGCTCCCTCAGCCACTCCTCATAAGGGAGATGCGCCACTCCCTCCATCATCTTTGTGGCTCTGCACTGGACTCTTTCAAGCAATTCCCTGTCCTTCTTGAACCGAGGGGCCCAGAACTGGACACAATATTCCAGATGTGGTCCCACCAGAGCAGAGTAGAAGGGGGAGGAGTAGAGGTTTGCTCTAACTTCCCTGAGAAACCAAACCCGGGGCTAACTCCTCCGTGAAGCTGGTGGTTGGACGGTGAGTGTCACTGTTACAAGGGAAAAAGCCAACGGGTGGAACGTCAGCTTTCTTATCAGGAGAGGGTCACTTGGCGTGCTGGAGGAGAGACGATGTTAGGTGAACTGGGCAACTCAAACCAAAGAGACAAATCAAAGATGAGAAAGGGGAGGCACATGCAGAAACTAAACACTACATCCCCTCCATGGAAGCTAGAAAGAACTGTCCCGCACTCCTTACCCTAATGCTCTGCAGAGAAAGGAAGGCACTTTTCTTTAGTCTAATACGATTTAGAAATCATCTGTCAGGTGACTCCAGCTCCAAGTTATTTTTTTTCCAAGACAAGACTTTCTTCCTACAACCCTTACAGCCACTTCCAAACAGGTGTTAAAGGGTGACTTTTATTCACCCTTTTTAATATAAATTAGATCAGATAAAAAGAGACCACTGAAGATACCTAAAGAGGGGATTAAAAGCTAAATACTCACACAGAACATGCACCTGCAAACTCTTTTTGGTTTGTTTAGGGTTTTTTCATGTTTTTCACTGTATGGGTCAGCAGGCCTCTGAGGGGCTTTTGATAGGAACTAGAATAATGCAGCACAAGTAGTCCTTGCAAAGTCCACACTATGGCAAGAGTGCCAAAGGTTACAATATTTCTTAAGCCACTGAGAAGTGCAAGTTAATTATAAAATTTTGACAACAGGAGTGGATGACTGGAAGGACTCCCTTGACTGTCTTGGCAAGAAAACAGAAGGGGAATACTGCAAACAAGTTCTCCTATGGAGAAAATTGCTCATTAGAGGAAAACACGAAAAGTCTTAAGGTTATTGCACTGAAACTGTATTAACTTGATTCCTCTGGTCTTGCAGCATCCTCTGAAAAGGCAGGAAAGTGAGAAAGGAAACAAGGTATTAGCATCCTACTAAGTGTAAGCACCTGCCTTCCACAGTGGGAAAACTCCTTGAAGAAGGAGGTAGAAGAAAGATGCATGGTTCCTAAGGGCAAAAATAAATTCAGATGTGGGGGTGAACTGGGCTCTCTGGCACCACCAAATGCCTCAGAAATTTCTCAGTAAAATAGATTTTCAAACAAACAGTGAAAGACAATTCTGTGGGTCTGATAGAAATATCAGTTGTGGACAGAGCATCATTTCAAACCAAATCATAGAAAAGGGGCCCTCAGATATCAAGATATCATCCTGAAATCCTTACAAAAAATTAGAAGTTAAACAGCAGAACTCCTCCCAAATCAAATTATTAAGTTTGAGATGCTGGAGAAATTCATGGCAGATACTAAAATCCCATGCATTAGACTGTCACTTCACTGGCAGAGAAAGTCAAATTTGTTCATCCCAAACATGGTCTGTGAGTGCTAAGGCGCGATGCTCACCTGTCTGGACAGAAGGAGATGTAGAGCAGAATGAGAAGCACTGCTCCTACTACAGTTGCCAGCAGAGATCTCATCCAGGAGCTAAGCTGGCAGAAGTTACAGTACTGCACAATGGTGATCAAAATCGCGCAACACATAAACATGGTGTACTGCAACAGAGAGAGAGAGCGTGAGTTAGCTTCGTCTTGCTGACCTTCTGCACACAAATGCCAGCGTGAAATAAAGAATGTGAGATATGAAAGAGAAGGATCTAATTTGGTCTGTGTTATATGCACAGTAAGGAATCTCTCGCAGTGTCTGCATCAGGAGGTAGCACTTGAAGATGGAGGTCTTCCCTTCAAAAAGCAAGAAAACTTTAAGTACAGGCAATTTGCCACAATTTTCCCTAAATGGAGTTTTGTATTACTGCATTACACGACCATTATCTGAGTAGTTTTCAATACCTTCATCTTACCTTTGCAAAAACCTCAGTGCCTCTTCTTATTTAGGAAAAGGAAAAAAAAAACCAAACATTCATGGTAAGCTCTTCTCAACTGTCAGGGTTAGACCCTGTCTGTTTTAAACTGAATGTCACAGTTCCACTGTATTGAAAATGTGGAATGCATTCACCCTCAAAAACATGAGCCAACTGCCTACCTTTAAAAACTCTTCTAGGAGGATGTTATCATACGGGCCAGCTGCAGGTGAATTCAAATAAGAAAATAAAGCTGTTTTGGTAACAAAAGGTAGCTATCCGTAATTGTCATCTGATGCTTGGTAACACCCCTACTTGTGTCAATCCAAAGGGACAATTTTAGGTTTTCTGTTCCAAATGCCCTATTTCAAAAATCTTTATCTTTCCCTTTCCAAATTTTTACTGGATAAAGAAAAGGAAGAGCAGGATGGATACATTGCCCAGCATGTCTTCACTTCCCTGAGATACAATCTTACAGCGGTCAAAACCCTCAAGCTGATGCACAAATTTTGGTTTTATCAAGAATATTCACGACCATCTAAGCTAAAAAAGAGACTCCACAGCAGCATTGCAGAGCTCTGTTTTAACTATACACTGGATTTTACAGTATCAAACGATCATTCTCTCCCTTTCTCTCCCATTTTACATTTCTTTTACAGCTGAAGTGCAGAGACTGCAGATTAGCAATACTGTAGCATAACAAATAAGCATATGATGCAGAAGTAGATGCCGTGTATGGGAAAAAGCCTTACATAATTTACCATTTTTAAACCACAAGCACAGGGTTTTTTTTAAAGGATTCAAAAATGGATTAAAGGAATTTCTGAAGTGTCCATAGAAAACCGTAATTCAAACTTACTTTTTTTCCCCCGTTTCAGGTCTCCTAAAGTGGCAGAGCACTGGTTCTCACTCCAAGTGATGCCCCAGCAGGAAGCCAGCCTACAGAGGGTCAGTAAGTGCTGTGTTTTACTATGTACGCATGGCTTTGGAAAGTTTTTTTTTTTCATTGCTGTTTTTGTTAACTTTAATTTTAATTATTTTATATCCAGGGAGGGTATAAAATGCTATGAATAAAAAAAAACTTTGCAAAACCATGTCATAGTAAAATATGACACTTACCTGACCCTCTATAGATTGACTCCATTTCCTAGAGCTCCAAGACTGCTGAAACACTGAGCACAAGGCGAGTTGGGACATCTCTTGGAGAGTGAGCCAACCACCCCACGACTCTGGAGGACCTGCAAGAGGAAAGAAAGCAAAGTTCATTCTCAGTTTGGTGATGAACACCACCATCTTACTGTGGTGCCTGAAGCATTTAGATCAACAGCCTGATCTCAATAGGTTGCGAGAATACGCTAATAAAATGGTTCTTCCAACATTATTTTTAAACGTTTGGAGAGATGATCAAGGATGGTGATGAAGGGGATGAGATAAAAATCAGCGGACAGATTTGAGAGATTTGAAGGTTTTCAGCTCCCTTCAGTGTGCAGAAAACATTCCTACAATTCGTTTACTGGTAGTCATGAAGAAGGAAGATCATTAAACTGAAAAAAAAAAAAAATTTACAGCTTAAAAATAGTCAACCAAAATTAACAAAAGGTAAAAGCTACAGAATGACTTTAAACATGGGACGTGAAAGAATATCAAATACACTCTTTTGCAATTGTAATGACCATGGAATAACATGTGCTTAAATCAGGAAAGTTCAAAAAACGTCTGGTCCAGGTGTTTTCACAGAACACTTTCCAAAACCCAGTAACAAACTGCAACAGGAGGAATGAAGAGGATCTGGTCATTACCTATGCCCTGAAATAGCAAAAGGTTTGTGAAACAGAATTCTCTGAAGATCCTGGAAAGGAAGGACTGTGCACTGTGCTACCTAAGAGAAATGTGCAGAGACACAACCTTTCACCACCGGTTCCAGTCCACTTTATTCACTAACAGTTTTTTAAGCATTGATTTTATGCTACAGTTAGCCTTTAAATTAAACTATTCTTTCCCTTCCTCAACATTTAACCCCTTTTTCCCCCCTTCTGAATGTTTTTATTAAACAAGACGCCAAATACCCTGTGGACCTTTCTGTGGCTGGGCTAAATATGCCAATTTCTTTCAGTTCCTTTTCATAAGACAGCTATTGCATTCCTTTAACCATTCCCACAACCCCTGCAGGGTCATCATTTCTATGTACTGAGAGCTCTCTCCTCTGAGTTTCTCCATCTAACTCTGCAAAGAAAAAACATTCACTGCTAATACCGTTCTCACTGTTGACATTCACAAATGTGCATGCAGAGTTTTAAGGTATATATAACATCTCTGACTACAAACTCTAAATCAAAACCAGAATGAATGCAATGAAAAGCCCAAGATACACTACTTGCATTATCTAGAATAAACACCCACAGAAGTGTTTGGGTAAGGAAAAAAAAAAGTATGTATGTAGGCAGGCATTTCTAGGTATCCCTCTCCTCTTTTGTGTGAGTTTTCAAATAACCAAGTAACTATATTCACATAAACTAGGCATTTCATCACACACAAAAGTCCTATCCCTCTAAGGAATTGGTATCAAACAGATGTAAAGTATGAGGGAGGTGAAGGAAGACAGCAGGCAAGCAACAAGCTTTGTTAGATCCAAAATGTCAGATTATGAAACAGAGTTCGACAACTTACATGTATATTTGTTTCAAAATCAGAGGTGAAGTGTGAAAAAACTGCAAGAGCTGGGAGAGAAACCAGGATTGCACCAAAAAAATGTCGAGGCAGCCAGCCAGATATCACCTCCAGGAGACGCTTGGTGCAAGTCATCACCTCCTCCAGAAAGAACGCCATTCTGGAACAAATGAAATCACAGATCCAGGCATTAATTTCAGCACATCACTTCATGGATGTACAACTTACCTGTAACAATATCACTTAAAATCCTTCACTGAGACCATATAAGCAATCACAGCATGTTACATGCCATAGCACCTGCTGGCAGTTCCAGGAAATAATCCACCTTTGCTGAAAGATGACTGGCTGTTTCCTGCAGTAAGGGGTGTCAGAAAAGGGAGGGAGAGCAAGTGGGACAAACACTCCTTTGAGAAAACAAACGGAACCCCAAATTTCACTTCCTTTGAAGGTAAGTGTAGGAAAGAATTACTTCCATTCGTAAGTATTTAGCCTTAAATCATATGGAGAGAGAAGCAGCTTTTACAAGGTAAAAAATTACTTAAAATAATACCAGAGATGTTCGAAAAGCCGGGCTGTATACCCCACTAACAGATCAGTCACCCAGAGGCCATGCAGATCCACGTCGTCTCAACATTATACTGCAACTGAAACCAGTTCTCCCAGTTACAATTGCCCTGACAGAAGTGCCCGTCTGCAATCAGACTCCGTTCCCTCTCATTAGGGAAGAGGAAGAGGAGCGTGGGCTGAGCGCTGGCACCCTGGCAGTGCTGGGGAAGTAGTTGCGATGAGCGCGGTGGAGGCCAGCTGGCAGCTGCCCCGCTCCTTCGCTCGCCTGTTGGTACCCAGCATAGCAACCCAGTTGGCTCCGCGCGAGGCAGGCGGGAAGGAATGGTTCTTGCCTCAAGCTGCTGAGAAAACGACAGCCCAAACCTGCGAGGTGCTGAAGGAGACAACTGGGAGATACTGCTTACATGAGAGCATTTCTGATTGCTAAAACGAATAAGGAAAGGTGAAAGGATGCTTAATGCTTGAGGATATTACATAGAAAACTGTTATTTAACTGCAGAAACAAAACCTTGGGATGAATTCCTTCTTAAAGCCCCAAAACATTAGTTACTTTAGGAAAACAGCAACTGCTGGTCAAGGTTCTAATTATTTTTATGCAGACATAAAAAGATAATGTAGTACAGCTCACTTTGTTCAAAGCCATTACATGTGGATGTTGTAATTATCAGAAACAGTCTAGGCAGGTAACTGCTGCCCTAACATTGGAGTACACCAGAGCCCAAACAGTAAATATTTACTTTTTTTTTTGGACAGAGAAGCTCACAGCTAAAAATAAAAGCCTAAATGCACTAAATACAAAATCTACACTCTCCAAAGTTACCCAGATTATTTCCAGTTACCTGTATCTTTTAAAAATTAAAAAATATCCACTGATTTTTTAACACTGTTGTCTAAAATACAAGGTATTATGCTGGATAAAAGCCTAATGCAAAACAGGATAAATTTAAAGTTCACGCGAATTTGACATTCATTCCACGCTTTTAAAATACGTATTGCTTATGAATGGTATTTTAATTCTCTGGTCTAGACTTCTATGAATTTTGTGACCTCAAGCATTCTTTTGACACTCTAATTTATTAAAATCTGGGAATTATACTTAAATGCAAAGAAGATAAATCTGGGGCAACAGGATGGAAGATGCTGTAATACAGCGGGACCCCACGAGAGGGTGCTCACAGATCTGTTAGTTCCTGGTTTAATGGATTTCCATTTACACCACAACTTACAGCTATATCCCATGCAAAAAAGAATTTCCGACAAAGCACAGAAATTAAAAAATTGTATATAAAACAAAATTAATTTTTAAAAAAGCTCTACAGAGTAAGCATTGGGTTCTCCGAAGTGCCATATACTGTCCTAACTCAGCTGCCTCTAACATCGATGACAGAACCACCCCCGTCTTCAGTGGCAGCCAAGCTCGCCCAGTATCGAGTACTTCTGAAAATGCCACCCAAGTTCATGCCTCTAAAAATAAAGTTCAATTCTCCCCAACCCCATGAATTAGGATTAACATTTGCAAGGCTGAACTGTGAGAGAGGAAACTGAACTGGGCTGCAAGGCAGAGCACCCCGGGCCAACTCCATCTCTGCGCTCCCCGGAGCAGCAATGCCTCTGTCCCCGCTCCGGTGCTCGTCCACGTCGCTCCCGCGTAGAGGCTGGCACAGAAACCAGCCCTGTGACACTCAATGCACAGCAGATAACCCGCGCAGCTCATGTCTCTCACCCCAAACCACACAACAGGGACTCCATGGTACAGAAAGCATTTTTCATTTTTCTTTTCGCCAAGCCTCCACGCCAGGACAAATTCTTATGGGAACTATAGCAACAAATCCATCAGCGAACCCGATCAGTTAATCCTGTGATGAGGACACTTCTTTATTTAGGCAGCTGTGTGTTTCAAAAAAGCTAGCGCAAATTCCAGGACAACGCCACATTTCTCATGATAATATTTACTTTCTTGCATCGATTTTTCTTTTGTTTTTCTTTTTGGTCCTGCACTTATCACAATGCCCTGGAATTAAAACGATTGAAATCTCATCCTTCAGAAAACAGCAAAAGCCTGTGAATATGGCACAGCCCTCCCACTGCAGGAAGAAGTGCATTAAATCCAGACAGCAATGAGAGCTGCAGACAGATTTAATGGCTACAGGGCAGTATCAGTAAATAATGCAGTGTCAGTGGGGAGCTCAACAGGGCTTAAATGCTAAAGCATCCAAGATGTTTACACAAGCTGGAGTTCAAATTAGTAACTTTGACATAAATGATTAATGGGTAATAGAGAATGTTACCATCATTTCTGTATTTACTGGCAGTCTAAAATCAATTCCCACAGTTCAAATCAAAAGCTTTTGGCATAGCAGCAATTTGGTGGGATCTTAAATACCAAAGTCACAGATGTTAGAAATAAAGGCAAACAGAATACATTGTTTTTCCCTGCATCAATAATCTGTATCAGTCCTGTTGTTAACAGACCCGGTTACTTACGCTCTCATTGCAGAAAGCAATTTCTGTTCCTGGTCATTAGGAGTTTAAGATCCAAGGGGCTGGCCCCAGGGCCTCAGCCGTGGACAGGCCATGGGTGTCACACTTCAGCAAGCCGGGAAGGTGAGCACCAGGCAAAGGGCAGTTTTGTTTACTCAGACAACAGCAGCTTCCCACTCTGCTGTTTTGATTGTACTTGCTGGCTTTCTTCATCCAGAAAAGACTGTTTTGCCCTCTAGAAAGGTACTTCTGAATTCATGAAACAACTTATCAAGTGCTCCCATCTCTCACTCTTCTGAACAGTGTTGAAATATCCACTATTCTGGCCTCATCTCCTCACCCAGAATTCTTCACTGAAGGATGCTACCAAAAGCAAGACATTTTCTTTAAACAAAATTATTTATGGCATGTTTTACTCATGAACAAGAAGTAGATGTCAAAAGTTAACATCTAGTTAACAAAAATCCCCTATTTACAGCTAAAATAGTGGGCAGATGTATTTTACCTGTATTCCTGCAGAAGCACTCTTAAGAATCCCACCTGAAGTCTCACACTGTCCTACGTTCAGTGACATTTCCCAAGGTATTTTGATAAAATAGCAGAACTTTAGGACCTCTTACACTTCAGCTAAACTCATGAAAGTCAAAGTAGTCACATTTCAAGTGGGCAGAAGGACATTCTTTGCACTGCATCTACAGAACAGGAGATGACATCTTCCACACGCTTACTAATGAAGCACCATTTTTTGCATGCAGCTTTATACAATTAATTTTAGAGTGGCACTTGTGATAACAGTGGGATCCTCATCTACGGATACTCCAATAATTTATTATCAGACACTTCAGAGGAAGCAAAACATCCTTCTCCCTTGTAATCTTTGCTCCGTGAGGACTTCTACTCTCCTAGAGCTTACAAGTTTTAACTCATTTCTCATTGCAGAGGCAGCAATAGCGCTCTCCCCTCCCACTCCTGCAGCTGGACTGAAGGTTTTAGCCACAAAAGCTGTAGCAAGTACTTCCTAGGCCGAGTCCTGTATTAAATTAAAAGTTAGACTGATTTAAAGGCAGGGTGTTTTGCATCATGATAATGAAAATACAATGAGAAACTTAGGCAAGAATTTTCTGGTCCTAAAATAATCCCTTTTCCTGAAATTCTGGGATTGTGCCCAGCATTGTAGTCCAATCTCCTCCCTTAAGATATCTCAGTGGTATTCTGTGATTGTCATTTGGGATGACATTTCTGCACAGGAAGTTCTGCGCTGTTTCTGTGCATAATGAGTGGTCAGGGTGAGCAGTCCTCATTCTGAAGAGGAAAAAGACGATTCTCTTCTTTCTGCTGAAGGGAACTGTATAGCAGCATGGGCCTCAAGTTGCAGACACTGGAGTGGCTCAGAAGTGTATTTACTATAAAGTAAATACACATTATAAATTCAAAACAAAAAAAACCCCTCCACGTCAAAAAAGATACCTTTTCCTACAAAACTGCATCCCTCTCCAAATGGCCACTGCCATTATATTTTAAAAATAAAACCTACCAGAAAGCTTCTGAAATTTAAATCTACAAAGACTGCTCTTTCTTGGTGTAGTATAAGACTGTTTTCAAGAAGATACCCTGAGTAAGATCTACTCAGACCTGAGCAGATCCTGTTTTCTGCTTTAAGAGACTGATTGAAGTGTTACCTTAGATTAGATGTGATGATCAGAATTAAGCCAAATACAAATTATACCTCATTAATCAAGAAAAGATCGCAAATGTGAGCCCATGATAGCGAGTTCCTGGGAATCAACTACTTGTAACTGCAGAGCAAATACAGAGTGGTTTGCAGACATTTACACAACAGGCGCTCCTGTAGCAAGGGATACCTGGTGACTCAATCCCTACGTCCCCACTCCTCAGCCATCAGTTTGACAGTGGGCAGGGAAGGGCAGCAACCACTTAGCCCATCCAGGACTCCTTTTTCCTCAAACTAACCAAGAGAATCTGTGGGGCCTTGAGATGAATGGTCAGCTCAACTCCAATGAATGCAGCAAGTGCTAGCGGCCACTGATCATCTGCACCCAGAGCTGTGCAGGAATTGCAGTGTTCCCTGCATGCCCAACCTTCTGTGAGTGCCCATTAGGATAAAGACAGTCCTGCACTCTTTTCACTGAAAATTGGTTATTACTGCAACAGGCGGGACTATGAGTTTTGATGGCTGGCTACAGGTGTTCTCCACAGTGTGAGATGATTCTCAAGTTGTTTTTCAAATCAGAATTAAACACAGAAAAATGATTAGTACTAAAAAGTATATACTTCTAGGAGTCACCCTGAAACACTTGCTTTTTAAAACTTACTGAGTTTAAAAGAGGCATCCAAGCCAGCTTAGAAAGTAAAATTCAGGCTTAAAGCCAACATCATCTCATGAAAATACTAGAAATGTCAGTGGCAAAACCAAATAGTGTCAAGAAAACATTATAAGGCTGCTTAAACTGACCTTGGTAATGGCCCAGGTTCACTACCAGAGAGCACGGCTCTTCACAATATAGTGCTGCAATGAAGATGGATCTCTGTATGGCCGGACATGGCTCAGAAGGACAAAACTGCTTTGCAAATTCTTGGCTACATAGATAGTACATTGAAAACAGCAATTTTCCTTCTTCCTAGGAAACCTATAAACCACCAATTATGGAACACAACTGAAATATAACCTTATGTGCCTACATATAAAAATTTCTAAGATCACAGCAATAGTTTTTTTATAAATGTATAAAATAAGAAAAGGCAGCTGCAATGTAGCCTTGGAAAACCAAGTGGGAACGATAATGAACTGAAAAATACTAAAATGGAGTATTTTCATTAAGGAACCTGCAGGGTGAATCTACACAAATTTTCTCCAAACATATATTGATAACAGAAACCAGCTCTTTCACAAAGGGGTGGCTGAGTTGTTGAGAGCTGAAGAAATTCAAGGATACAACACCATAGCCATCAAGTCCAGACTACTGCTCACCGCTGCCTTTTGACTCTCCTGCCTGGTGCACTGGAAAAGCTGGCTGGGCTCATCAAACAAAAAACAACTCTGCCCCCACCCAAGACAGAGTACAGAAACCGTTCTGCACAGGGGAAAATGCAATTCTGGTGCAAGAGAGAGGACAGAGCAGCAGTTAATCCATTCACTGGAATGACAGTCCTGCGAGTTCAACCACCTCCGAGTACAGGTCTTAACACTTCCTAAATTTCTAGATTTTCTAAAAACTCTAGAACTACAACACTATTCAAATTGCAACAATCAAATATGCCTGCTAAGAAATACTATCCTTAAAAGCATTTCCACTGTTCACAAATGACATCTCTCTATGCCTTAACAGCCTTCATGTAAATACTCTTGTATCCTTTTACATGCACACTGAGTTACAAGCTTGCTTCAGTGACTACAGTACTAATTTAGTACTATTTACCTTGACCCTGAAAAGTCATAGTAAGAGTGCAAACTGCAATCTCTTGTTTATTTTGAAACAACAGCAGAATTGCTTCTACCTTGTAATTACAAAAGCATTTTACCTTGCACACACCTGACAGATTCGCAGAACTACAAATAAGGACACATGTTTCCACACACCACCCTTGTAACATGCTCTTGTGTCAGAAGTGCAGTGAAAACAGGGGACAAGGAGGGCAGAATAAACTTGCTCTCACAAGTACAGACAAACAAACAACTCACTATTAGGTCTACCATCTGGGTTAATAACAGGTTACATGTGGTATCTGTATAAATCAGACAACACACCCAGAGAGCATGAGCTTTACTGAATGCTTGTTCAACTGCAGTCCTCTGCGACACTCGAATGTGTGAGTAACTCCAGCGGCCTGGGGGAAACACCACATTACGCAGGAACCACACAGTAATCGCTCGCTGAGTAGCTACAAATGCCAGGGTAAGCCCACAAGTGTCCTAGAAGTCCAGAATATGCATCCTCTGGGTGACTGGGTCCAAGTCAGGAACATGGAGTCACTGCTAAACATCAGGTACCTGCAGCCAATCCTCACCTCCGAGGGCACAGCGGCTGCAGGGATACAGAAGAATTGAGGGATGGGGGATTCTTCGCTGCTGGCTGCGAAGAGGCAGGGTGGGGGCTGCCGCTGCCGAGCACAGTCCGGCGGAGCGGCTCTTTCTGCAGACAAACCAGCGTCCCTTCCCTTCCCGAGCAGCAGCTGACTGTCACACAGCCCGGGACTCGGGGGAAATGCTGAACTCTAATTATGTGTCAAACAGAGAAAACACAAACTATTTGAATATTAAACCCATGGGACTTGAAATAGAGATCATTAAGAAAACTAATTCTGGACAGATGCAATGTGACTTTTGACTTCTGCAATTCCTTTTTTTTTTTTTTTCCCTGGGAAAAGGACTGCTTTTTGTATTCCTGATAAAGTATTTCAGTTTTAACACTGGAATGGTGTACTTCTATCAAGGAATTTAAAGGCAGGGTTGTTGTTTTTGTTTGTTTTTTTTAAGGACAGATAAAAGCTTTCTGTTTGAATTCCCTCACTCTGACAGCCCTGTGAGGGGCGAAGATACCCAGTTGTGTGTGGCATCCCAAGGAGCAATAAGCAGGGGTGGTCATGGAGTGCAGATTCTGCTTCCTTAAGTGGCCTCTATCAGTCACCTCTCTCTCCTCCAGTTTCTGAAGCCAGACCTCTCTTTGCACAAGGTTTGCCACAAGCCTTCTTGGCTTCACTAACACTGCTGTCCAAATATCACAGGGCATCCAAGCGAGTTCCTGGGGATGCTGTCAAACAAAATGTTCCCAAGCCAGCCACCATTTTAGTACTCACTGCTATGTCAAGAGTTCGTTATGCTTTATTTACCTAATTGAGACGACAAGTGACAGCACCTCTAGCAGGATGGCGATGATGAACACCACGACTGCTGCAGGTGGTGGAGGGGACGCGACCATGCCATGTTTCAGGAAACACGTGATGGAGAGTATGAGGAAGACTATGGTGGAGAGGAACACATCCAGGAGCGAGCTGAAGGTAGCGCTGGCAAACGTCTTCACTGGAGCATTCCTAATAACCTGTGCAGAATACAGGGATTGAGGGAACAGTTGAAAATTAATAAATGCTATTTTGCTGAATTCAACTGCACCATAAACAGCAGCTCACAAAAACAAATGAAGGAATACAGAACTTTTTGCCACTTCATCAATCCAGTGTAAGTACTGCTTTGAAGCAAGAAACAGAAGAGGTAGTTCAATGGCTGTATCACAGCTCCCTCAGAGTAAGTCTGTGCTGGAAAAAAAAAAGCACTGGCAGCACAACCCCTGCGTCTGCGGTGATTTTTACAGAACATTATGAAGCAGAAACAAACCACATGAAAATTGCTTATTCTATGCAAAGACCATAATAACTAGCAGATAAAGCTATAAGAAGTTTTCTTCAAGGATTTTAATTCAAAATAATAATAGATTTTACCATCATAAGCCTTCTAGTTCCAGTGGTCCTTTAAGAAAAGCCTCCAAACACCACTTTACAGAAACAGTTACTTGCCTGTGGCAGAGCTCATATCTCCCTTTTACACCAGATTAAAAGCAGCAATCAGGACGCTACGTAATCTGAACTGATCAGAGCCCAGGACACCAAGTTCTGTTCTTCCGTAACCCCTTACCACACATTCCCATCCCATCTTGTCCTGGCCCCAGTGCTTGTGCAGCTGTGCTGTGCTGGACTGCTTTGGCCAGTCCAGCTGAAAACTCGATCATGAGCTCCACATCCTGGCTTCCTCAGATGAGCCCAGTCTTAGGAGTGTTTATATCTGCCCAAGGGACCACAGAAAGCAAGTTCCAAAGAAAAACAAAAAGTATGTTATCAGTATCACCATTAAGTAGCCCAGTTTAAGTACTCTGGTTTAATTTGGAATTTTCTTCTGCTTCTCAAAACACTATCAGCACTCAGCAATATTCGGAAATGAACTTGTTTCTCATTTGTATCTCTCTGCAACCTAATAAGTTCAGCTAGCATCATTTCAGTGCCAAAATTATCTTTTAATCTGAACTGCAGCAGAATCCTGTTAGTCCACACAGGAAGGCACATAAATGAATTAGGGAAAGCAGCACTGTATCCTAAAGTGACAGCGTTAAGAATGCCCTAATAGTGTTAAGCAGTGCCTTAATTTCCAAACAAGAACAGGCTAAGCAAGCTCTTGGGAAGCGGAGCTGCTTACAGAGAACGATCACAAACGAGGCATATGCTGCTGGTGCTGTGTAATTAGAGGTGAATTCAGTGGTGTCAGAAGTTACTTTCAGCAATAGTTTTCTGCAAGGTAATTAAAGAACCAGCAGAGCTGACAAATCATTTCACTCTAAGAGAAGACTTTTGTTGTTGTTGTTGTTTTGGACCAGTACTATGACAATATTAAAGCTTTAACAGGTTTTTGCCCCCGTGCTGCAGAGTTACTATTAAAGAGTGAAGATGCCCCTTCCAGGCAGGTCTGCATAATGATTTTCAAATTAATAGCTTGCCACTAACAAAATGCCCAGACAAAATTCCTGCTCCTGCTATGAATTTCCTACATATCCTCATTAATAGGTCAATCTGTGTATGCTTGACTATCACTGCTTCACTTCTCTTTCCAATCTTTCCATTGGAAAGAACATGATACACTATTCTCTGGATAGTTTGTGTAAATTTTGCAGGCTGTATCCCACAAGAAGTTTCTCCCTGTTGTTACTACATGAGCTTTATTCAGAAAGATACTGCTAGAATACAGTGCTGCAGGATGAGTATGGAGTTCCTGAACAAAGTGAACAAAACAAGCAAATAAGGGCTACTGCTAAGGACAATGTGACAGTGCTGCCCAGAACAGAAAGCAGCCCATAAACAGAAAGAAACAAGCAGAAGCAGAAATCCTACCTGCCCTCAGATGCAGGACATATAGAGAAGAAAAGAAATCAACACCTACACTTATGACGGTGCAATTCTGCCAGACAGATGACCCAAACTAATGGCTCAACGCTACTGGAAGGGAAGGGCCCATTCCCCTCTGTGCTGCTGGGCACGCAACTCGCACTGGCTCTGGCACCTGTCAACCTCTCTGTGAGCTGCCAGTTCAACAGCACAGAAACAGACCCAGATGGAAAACCAGCCCAAACAGAAAAACAAACCATGACTATTGTATGCTAGGCTACTGAAGTGAACTGGCTCACAGTAGGGAAGCCTGATAAGCACCAGAGCCATCAGAAGGAGCAGGGAAGAGTAGAAGCAAGGAGGGGAGAGCAATTGTCCTCTTTCGGCAGCAATTTTTTCAGCTACTCAAAGAAATCCAGCCTCAGTTAGTCCTGACACTTAATGTCACTACATGTTAACTTAAAACATCTTGCTAGTTCCTATCAACCAGGCAGGAGTACCTACTGACATGGAAAGCCTACAATACTATTAGCCCCCAGAGGAATTAATGACTTTTGGCACTCAGTGCAGAACCCTGAAGAAGGCACTGAGTCCATCACAATTCACTCACTGCTCCTTACAAGTATGCAGTGTTTTGAACTGCCTGCTTCTGAATGCAGCACACTGACAGAACTTAGGACATCTGAGTTCAGAGCAGGTTTGGGCTCCACAGGGATAACTATAAGGCTGTGACATGAACAAGAATCAAATACAAAGCTACCATTCTCAAAGTTAGGATATTTGATGAGAACACAAGTCGCATTTGGCCCTTTACTCTCCTCTTAGCATGGTTCTCTGGCCTGCCTAACCTGAAAATGGAGAAAAGACAAGTAGGAAGTAATTAGTGTATCTTGGTGGATTGAGAAAAGGTATTTCCAGCCCAAACACTGGACTAGACTCAGGGCAGGGCACAAGACAGGTAAATTTAAAGAAGACTGTTTTCAGAGGCAGCAATACCAAGTAATAAATCCCATTTGACATGTCATGAATCTTGTCATCAACTGCAATAAAATGTGTTAAAAACAACAGGGAGTTGCTTAGACAGATGACAGAAGGAAACCAATGCCAGAAGAAACACACCTCTTCCTGATAGCTCGTCCTGTAGGCCATCTCCAAATCCTGGTCCAAGAAGTTGAGGCTCAGCTTGTTGATAGGCGGTTTAAAGAAGTAGTCTTTCATAAGGCTAAAGAGAAAAGATGACATCAACATCAGTTTATTCAGCTGTAACTCTTTCAGAACCCCCTGTTCTGTGGTTTCTGTTTCTTGGGGTCCTGGAGCACTCAAAGGAAGTATTTCACAAAAAATGACAGAACAAACTTTTATACTTGCAGGAAGTGACTAACAAGTCCTTCCAAAAACTTAACAGCTATAACTGCAGATAACTACAGATAATTGTAATACAGGCCAGCAAATAGTAAAGGTTGATTGCTGCGATAGAGGCACAACCTGAGGAGCTGTGTGGCTGCAGGGTATCTGTGTCTTAGGTGGAATTCTATTGCTCAAAGCAAGCCAAGGGTAATAGAGGTGACAAATCCTTAGAAAAAAAAATAACCAAACCAAACAAAAAAAACCCAAACCAACACAAACATACAAAAATCCAAACAACACCCAATGTCCATTTTAGAAAGCAATACTTTCTTGTTATCTCAAAGACACTAAAATAACTCAGTAACTCAGCTGGGAACATTCCCTTAAGGATCTGGGCTGCAGAGGAATGGAACCTGAGGAGACAGATAGCTCACATTTACTTCTGAAACAGAAGATCTGAAATCACCAGAATCAACAGAGGCACTGACAAATAATGAAACTAACTCACTAAGTCTAATGAACCAGGAGGCAGCATCTACCAGAGGGTGTTCATGCACCCTTTCACCTTATCTGCCAGGATTAGGCACAGAAAAACAAACAAACATAAAAGAGACCTCAAACATTAAAAAGCTGCTTATTTTCCCCACCTTCTGGAGCAAAAAGAGAACTTTTTTTTGAGTTTTACATTAGTAGTAAGAGGTTTATGAAAGAAGTTTTGTAACTCCACCTATGGCACTTGATCTGCAAACCTTTTCTTTCTCTAGCAGATGTCAAAGAGCTGGAAGGACTCGACGTACAGAGCACCAAGTGCTTTGTGCCTGATGGTCGCAGAGTAAGGTCACGCCTGCTGATGCCATTTATTGCTCGGACAGCTCGTCACCCTCTGTTCCATGCAGTCCTCACCTGAGGCTTCACAACACCTGCTCCTGCTGTGAACCTCCCCTCATTTTCAAGCAAGCAAATCCACTTGTTATCTACAGTGAACTAACTGTTTTTACAATTGCTGTAGAAGCTGAAATGGGGCGGTTTCTTCCCAGGTGCTATTGCCATCTTGAAAACTGTAAGACCGGAGCAACAACTAGAGTGGGCTATTTTCAAGTTGATAACTCTAAACAAAAACCAGAGATGTGCATGAGAGCAAATTCTAAGCAGATGAAGAAGCTGAAAGATCCTACAGAGTTAGTCTGTGCTTGAATTCTTTTTTTTTCCAGGGGATTTTGTTTTTTGGGGGGTTTTTTGTTCCAGTTTATTACTTACGAACACCTGCCAAAGAGGTTTTTAGGAAGTACAAGCTCCCCAGCACAAGATGGCACGCAGGAAGCACTTTTTTCTTGCGACGCCAGGCCAACCAAACACATTCGTAGACTGAAGCTCCAGAAGACAAAAGATTTCAACCAAGAATATGGCAGATATTTTGTGACTGTTAAACATTCTGACTTTGGCCAATACACTGAAAATACCAGGATATTCTGAAGGAATGACAGGACATGTTCACTTGAGTCCCCCTCGTCTTTCACTCATATCTTCCCTCACCTCTCTTAGATATTTCGAAGAAGATCTTATAATACGAATCTGCAAGCCTTTTTTTTTCTTAATATTGTTGGATTCCCTTTCTTCCTCCAGGGAAGCTCAACAGAGCATGGTGATGTTGTGCTGGAGCGGCAATGGTCTAAGGGTGTAGGAGGGTAGGAGGGACAATCCAGTTTGCAAGTGCAGCACGAACCAGAAGGTGTAACAGGATGAAAGCAGGGTGAAGGCTGCATTTCTGTCAGCCAGCTGCACTGTGCCAGTCCAGCTCCAGTCAATACTCATCTGTCTCAGGAGAAAGATGCCAGTTTAGTTGACTAAACACAGTCAAGTACATAATCTGCTTCCCAGGAGGCCCTGTGCCTCCCCAGCACAAGGGATTTCTGTTCTCCCCGTGTCAACCAAGACTGGGAAGTGGGAGATGGAAGAAACAAACAAGCAAATTTTAAAAGTATTTAAAAAAGGAAACTGACCCAAGGTGGGGATCAAGGGCTGCACAGAACCTGGCTTCTGGGGGGAGCTTCGTATTTCCCTGGGACTCCGCTCTGTAAGCCTAAAGAGATAATTTCTACATACTGATCTGATTAGTGCAAGGGCACTTGTTTCTTGTACTTCAAAAGGTTTACAGCCTAAGGAATATGTAATTTTTATTGGAAATGAAAATTTAAAAAGCGAGAATACTTTGAGGGTATCCCCAGTGAAATTAAATTTAAACATTTTTGTACTCTTACACTATAGTTTTCTTTTAAAATGCCCAGTAACATGCAGATTACAGTGAACAAAGCAAGGGTATTTTTATAGTGGTTGTAGTAAAGCCAGACTCAAAGCTCAAACGCTTTTTGTCAAATATATACACTGTTTGCCGAATATATACATCATCAAGTTGTACGAAGATGCAAACTGATAACTTCTATGAAAAGAATTCTTGTATAATGCAATAATACAAACATGCCGCACTAACATGGGCACTATATTCTTTTTATTTTTATTTTTCATTATTTTTAAAGACAACCAGAACCACACTGAGATGTCAACTCCAAGGTGAAATCTTGACATGCAGAGACCAATGGCCACTTGTGAAGCTCTCAGCCACACACTTAAACTCTAGAAAGAGTCTGGGAAATAAAAAATACCACCAGTGCCCAGCACTTCCTGCAGGCCAGCCCTAGGCAGCTCCCTAATGCAGCGTCCAGCCTCCCAGATACTCCCTTGGATGTGTTTTAACTTCCCAGTTGTACAGGAAGCCTGAGTAATTCATGTACTGTATCACCAAATCTGGGTTAGGTACTTCTGTTACTACGAATTTACACAAGAATACCAGCATCGTGCACCACAGTGGAAATCCCTGCCCCAGGCCAGGGCAAGCTCACACTTCACTGCTGCTGCTGGGTTTGCAGTAACATAAAACCAAAGCAGCACAACTCCAGTATTATTATTGTGAATGGGCTTTCACGTAAGATGACCCAGGGGATGTTTTGACTTCACCTCCTTCCCGGAGAAAACTCAAATTTCCCATTCAAACATCCTCATGGATACTAGATTTGTTGAGACAAACAACATATTATGTTTTACAGTAGGCAATGAAGAATGTTTTTAAAATTACTTATTACATGTAACTCTACATTGAGAAACGTTAAAAAGATTACTGTAAAACGGTAGGCTTAAACCATTTTGCATAGACCTAATTAATAAAGAGAATATTTTAGGAAAGTTATGTTTACATGAACTGAACTCGGCAGAGAAGTTTCCCTAGCAACAAGAAATGGCCCACTTAATATGGTAATGATGATATTTAATTAAGACCAAAAAAAGCCAGGCTTTGACTGATGTCAAATCATGGTCCTACTTTTTCCTTTTTCTGAATCAGAAAGAATGATCCATTTTGTAAGTGGAGGAGGAAAGCTCCAGGAACACAACAGCTTGAGCTAGGTATCTTCAGCAGGCCAACAGCATAAATTAAGCTGCTTCTAGAACTTAAAATTTGCAGTGTTCTAGTTACACTTTAAACAAAAATCCACTTCTTGCTGATTTTTGCCAACACTGGGACTTTCCCAATCCATCTGTCTTCTAATATTTGAAAATATCAGCTAAACACCTATTCCCAGCCACTAATGACAGACCACACAGAGAGGAGAGAAAAGAAAAAAAGAGGAGCCTTAAGTTTTAACTGAAGTTGGCCTCAGGAGAAAGATAATCTGAAAAAAATCTGGAGAGGAGACTGGAGAGGGACTGGTGTCCCTCCTTCTCACTTCTCCCTGTTTTAGTGATGTTTTCAGTTAAGACAACAGAGTCCCATTCCAAGCAGCCTGGGGTCTATATGAGCATACAGTTTCAAGGATATTTAGATAAAATACCCTTAATCTGAGCGGAAGCAGTGAAGCACAAATAAGAATAGCCATGAATAATAACAAACTCAAGTTATCTGTTTAGTTGATCCAGTCAAGTCACTGCCATAATAAGGGAGATGCAGCTGTGTGTTTACAAAAATCATATACTACTGAATTCTGGGAAATATGTTTTCCTCTGTCTAAAATAAGGGTTTTTTTGTTTGAAACAGAGAGCGAAGCTAACTTTATAAAATGCTGTAGGTAGGTAGTAGGTCCATGAGAATTCACTCCTATTAATTCTGCTTCCAAGCTCAGTGTGATTTCTAGGCATTAGTTGGTCACACAACGTAATCAGATGTTGTTCTTTTGCTATTAAAAAAATGTGAGTGGTTCTGAATTTATGTTACACGATTAATTGCAGAGAAAGGCGTATGCTATGTGTACTAAGGACTTTGGAATGTAAAGATAAGAGTTCAACTTCATGACAAGTCATCTAAAGAGTACTTTTCCCTTTTTGAAGACTCAGCTGAAGAATGACTGCTCACCACAGAAATGATTAAAAACCTGGCTTTACGTATTCCTGAGTGGAGTATTTCTGACATCAAGTTCCTACTGTAGTTTAAACAGAATACAGACTAAGATCAGAAAACATGTGACATGTTATATGTTAACAATAATTACTGACATTAGACAAAAGGCACACAAACACAGATTAAAGATATGGGACCCCGTTACTGCCTTCTCTACTTTATACAGTTTTACACTGTACAGCTCAATTTTCCTTACCTGTCTTCTTTAATCACATCCACAAAGTGCGCATCTGTCTTTTCTCTGATGTTTTTGAACCTCAAAGGAAGGAGAGCTGATTGATCCAGGCTCACTCCACCCCATCTTCCTTTCTCTTGCAACATTTCATAAAGCGAGGTTTGACTATTGCTCAGCTTTTCTTCCTGTGGGGGACTCAAAAGGCCATTCTGAGTCTTTGGACTGTGTCCTCCTGGAGCCTGAATGACAGAAAGAAAAACACACATGGGGAACATTAGTGCTTGAGAAAGTAGACAGAAGAGATTTAATGGGGCCAAAGTTGAAAGCTCTTCCCTCCACACACTGAGCTTTTACCTGATCACACCAAGGATCTACCTCCCCTGTCTCGAGGTCATTCACATCTCCTGTACGCCCGTGCCTGCTTAGCTGTTGTCTTTCTGCTTTTTCTGTACTAAGTTTCCAAGGAGCAGAAGACAAAGTACATTTTCACACATACAACGAAGACCAACCACAAGCCCAAATCTTTTTCAATCCTCTTAAGGTGAAGATTCTTCTAAAAAGCTTTTAAAATACCTACTTCAACTGTGCTAACTCTCCACAGGTCATGAGAAACTTGCTCTGACAGCCCTTGCTGACCCTTCCACTGACCACTACAGCCCTGCTGCTTTCCCAGAGCTTCCTCCTTTCTCCTACCTGTGGGAACAGCCCTTTTGTACACCACACCACCCTACAAAAAAAAATCCTACAAATTAAACTACATTTTCTTCACTGAGTAAGATATACTACTTCTTTCTGGTTTTCTTTTGCCTTTGTATTAATTAAAATGGCATTTTTAAATTTTGACACCAGCTTGCAACACAGCTTAGGTACAGTTTTATCAATTCTGCTTTCATTCATTTGAAAACACAAATTACTTTTAGCCAAAAATGATTCCATTTTCATGGAACCTGAAGTTCCTCCTTTTACATTTTCTTTGACCTAGACCAATATGCACTGAAGCAATTCCAAATAAATTAGACAACTAAGTAAGTATAGAATGAAAATGAACTGCAGTTAGCAAGGATCGTTTTCAAATGCAAGCATACATCAAACTTAGCATATTTGAAAGCTCACCCCCCCATGTCTTATAATTTATCACGTATCATTTATCCTCATCCTGAAACCCACTCACGACAGAAGTTTCTTCATTTCTGCCTGTACAGCAGTCAGCACAGCAGTGACAAGCTCCTCCAGAAGACTATTCTTGGATGCCACCACAGTGACCATAAATAAATACCATAAATATCATCACCACCCCAACCATGCACTGAAATATGTTACTTAGATTGTGAAATCAACTTAGATAAAGTTAAGAAATTTCTAGTTTCTGGTTGCCTACGCAAAAGTAATTCAACCGTTTATCTATCCTGTAAAGCAAATGAGGCACATGAACACAGGCAGGTATGATTAAAGGTTCAGACATAACCAGTGAAGACACAAGACTAATGGAGCAGCAGGAGAATGTCACCTTGTGCAGGGAAGAGTCAGAAAGCACTTGGGCTTGGCTCCCTATCATTGCCAAGACCTCCAGAGCTGAAGTCATGACAAGGTGCGTTGGAATGGTTCCCTGGAGCTACAGGAAAAGCAGGAGGAAGGTGGGCTGCGCTTCCCCTTCCTCCCACCCAAGGAGGACACATGGTTCCCACCCTGCGGGCTGCCCCAGTGGAGGGGTGAGCCCCCAGAGCCATGTGCTGGGAGCCAGGAGATGAAAGGATTCCCAGTCTAGTCCCTTCTGCACTCACAACACTTGTTTTGGCAGCCCGCAGGTGTTCACAGCCCAGTGACAGCAGCTGACAAAGTAGAATAGGAAATTCAGTAGTTACCTCGGTGTGCTGCCAATGTTTTGCTAAAGAACGTAATCAACAGAAGAGAAAGGCGACTTCAGCAACGCATATTACAACAAAAGCAGAGCAAAACCTCTTGGGCCAGACAGGGGCTCGGGTACGACAGAGAGGCACTCTCCTGGAAAGCCAGGGGCACAACAACTTCTCACACAAAAGGGCACCAGTTTCCTTTCTAAGGGAAAACATCCAGCAGCTTCAGAGCAAGTCCTGCTGCAACCATAATGGGTCATCCAACCCACCCCAGAAGGCACACGGCTATGGAGCACGAGACGTGTTGCAGCACCAGGGCAACTTCTCTGGTTTTGAGATGAGGAGCACTGACAAAGGCAAAGCAAAGAGAACTGTCCAGCAAGTTGCTAGAAGTGAAGGGGGTTTTGTTTGTGGGTTTGTTTATTTGTGTTAGTTTATGCTAAAGATTATTTCTGCTCACAGCACCTCCCAGAACAACTTGAGGCATTAAAAAATTGGTCATAGTTACCACCTGAATAGAATGTTTCTCCTTTTCCTTACCCCTGCAGCAGATGTTGTTACTTGAAAAGCAGAAACTGAGTGAACACAGTTTTTGCTATGAGCAGCTCAAACGAAAGATATGGACTCCAGGGCACTGTTTGCTTTCCCTGCCTATTCTTCAAGTTCATCTGAAGAATGCAGCGAAAATTTCTGCTCTTTTGGAGAAGGTCAGCATGGACTTCTCTTGGCCTTTTCTTTTTAGTTCCTTGGCAAAGGCTCAAATCCCTAAGAAAATTCTTCCCTTCAGTCAGCTCAAGGTTTTCCTGTGCTGTCTCCACTCTTCTTAATCTTAGCAGGAAGGGATTAGAGTGTGAAACTGCTTGTGTGCAAGGAGAAAATCCCCATTTATTAAATGTTGTTAGCTCCAACGTTACTGTGGTTTCTGATGGCAGCAGGCTGCACAGCTCTCCCGCACACTCGAGGTTTGATGCACCATGTTGACAGTTTCATCAAGAGGCGGGGAAGGCTCCAGAGGCTGCAGGGACCCACAAAGGTCTGAGGACATGGTTAACATTTTATGGAGACAAGACAGAAAGACTGAGATAGAGACAGGGGACATAATTGCTGCAGAACCAAGCGTAGCAACGTGGCATGGAAAGGGTACAGACTCCAGAGGTGGGTAGAGGGAGCTTATGGCTCTTCTTCCCAAGAAAGCTGAGACTGCAAAGAAGATTTGGAAATCAAATGCCACGGCAATGTTGTGCATGGAGCTGTTTCTCACGCTTTCAGCTCAACAGGCATCCCAGTCCTACTGGACGGTCACTTAACTGGTCCAATTTTTGACTTAGCAACAGCTAAACCAAATCAAAGGATGATGTGTGATTTGGTCTCCATTAGCACGTTTCTTCCAGTGAAATTACAGACATTTTATTCAGCACTGCACAGGCCTCTGAAGTGAGGTTAGATGACTTGTTGATGAATGCACATGAAGCTAATACAGCTGCAGTGGGAAGAAACGAAAAGGACAGTTCTGCTGAAGATGACAGATGACACGAGGCAGTTGGTACCCAAGGAAAATCTCTGTCTGCAGTTGGTTCCCAGAGATCCCTGGCACGTGGACAGAGACAGCCTGGGGAAGAAGCATCTCACGCATACAATCTTGGCAGCCTGGGCACATCTCCCACTGTGTTTTCTGTCTGAAAGATCTCACACTGTTCCGAGACCAGTACCTGCTGGCCACTCTGCTCTAGCTCCCCCAGACCTGAAGGGATTATTATTTCATTTTTTTCTTAGGCTGTTTCCTAGGAACCCTGGCACAGAGCATGGTCTACTGTGTCACATACGACTTCAGTCCAGTACAGTCTCGCAGTCCCTGCTTCTGAGCTTACAATTTAAGCACAGGAGACAACAGGTAAAATACAGGGAGAGAGCAGAGGGACAAACATAGATTAATGTAGCAGCTCATCAGTAGAATGCTGGCAAGTTTTTCCATTAGCTCTGTATGCGAGATGAGTTGTAAAGACGGATGCAAAGGAAAAAACCAAGACAGTTATCTCGGAATGTGTTTATAAAATGATTCTCACAAACAATGGAAAGCATTAAACTTATTTGAAAATAAAACAAACAGGTGATGAGCACTGGTATCCAGTCTACATTTAGGTAGGAACTTAATATTCAGGAGGGAGTGAGAGGTGACAGGCAGAGCAGAGCAGCTACACAGGCCACGGACAAGACAACAAACAGGCAACTCCTGGTACTGGAGAGGAAGTGGGTGGCTTCAGTGAGAACATCTAAGCAACAGGCAAGGAAAGCAATCTTGGCAGCAGCATGCTGAATATGTAAGACGCTGTATTTGTCAGTCAGAAAAAGGATGCAAACTGACTTAGATGCTGAACGTCAACTGTGCGTGTGAACAGGAACGACTCTCTTAGCACTACGGCGCGGAAGATGTCGGCAAGGCACAGGGGTAACTTGTGGGTAGGAGACACGCAGCCAACCGGTGTAAGGGATGGAGACTGCTTCTGTCTTTGGGGAGCCCCAGCATAATTTAAAGAGTCCAAATGTTAGGTCCGTCTTGCTATCAAACTGGGGCCATTAAATTACTAATAATTTCAAAAATGTGTGTGTGGGGCTCAACTAAATTTTAGAACACAACTCCTCAAAACGAAAACTGTTTCTGCTGCTTAAGAGCCTGAATAAAGGAATAGCAATATAAAACCAAGAAAGGTATCTGAAGCAGAAAAATAAGGGATAATATGACAAATACTTAATTTACCTTCGTACTGTTTTTATGCTCATCCTGACAACCATTTTGGATAGCTCCTTCGTCTATGCTGACATCGCAGTGGGGAGCAAGGGTGGTACTACATGAAGGGCAAGGCTGCAATGAGACAAAAAAATTTAGCAAGGAACATTCTGGTGTTCCTGTATTATGCAATTTATAATTTGGTCCACTTGCATACTTGGAGCATGGTTAAAAGATAAACAAAGCTACAGAATAGGAAGCAGGGAGTGAAATTTGACTGGAACAGAATACACTACTTCAAAAATAAATCACAGATTGTGTTTACTGAAGCCAAATCTGATCCAGGAGAGCTTTACAGTAAGATCACAGATCCACTGTAATCACTGTGTACTAGCAAAGGACCTGCCCAGGAAGAACAAAATACTCTTTCCTGAGAGAAGTGCAATTTTCTTGTTTAAAAACTGCCTGCAAAAGGATCTGAATGGCATTATGAGTGAAGACATAGCACAAAACGCAGAAAAAAAATTAAAAAGCACAAAACACCACAATGCATTATGAACACCACAGGGAAATGGAAAGCAACAAATCTGAAACTAATAGAGGGAAATACTTTTTCATATAATGCTCTAAGAAAGTAGAGTGGAGCTTAGGTTACTGCACATTGTTGAAACCAAACACTCAGCAGATGTCACAAGAAACAAGGAAACAGGGGAAGCAAAGCCATCAGGACTCGTAATAGTCGCAGGTTATGCATTTTGGAAGCAACCTAAAATGTAAGATTTCAGCTTTTAAAACAATCTAACCCCTTAAGAGTTAAAATGTCATCTTCTTCAGGGGAATTAGCTCTGTATCTTCCAAGTTCTTCATACTCTTCTCCAGTCCTGGCCATGCACAGGCAGGATGCTGCACCGAGGGACTGTGTGTGATCCCTACAGGCAATTCCTCTCCTCTGGAGGTGGTTTACAGTAACCAGCCTTGCCAGATCTCTACTTATGGGTACAGAGACACCAGTCACAGGAAACAGCACACTAAATCTGGCAAGCTGTATATTAAATGGTGGTGGGTGATCCACCGAACATCCTGATAAATTTTCCAACAAGGAACTTGAGCCTTTTGTTCCAAACTCAACACTCCATGTCCACTTTATCTGTTTATTCTGGACTCAGGAGGGACTCGTTCAAGCTCCTGCAGTCTATCATCCTCCTGCTCCAAAAACACAACAACTTCTGCCTTCAGGTTCACACTCTATTCCTGGGACCAGCGTGTAAGTCTTTAGAACTGACTGTTTGCACAGAGCCCCTTTTCCATCTCTGGTGTCACACCTAACGTTAAATAATGTGGCATCTTCAATTTTCAGGTTGTTCAAGTGTGGTATTTCTCCCAGCCTGCTCTTCCTGTGACTGCTGATCCACCTCATCACTCAACAACGCCTCTCAAGGGCTTTCACAAAGACTCTCGCCTTTGTAGCAGCCAGCAGACCATCGCATCGGCTGCTTCTCAGGAGCGTGGTCTGAGTTGGGGCACTGAAGTTACTCTGAGTTTCCTAGTCTGGCATCAGATAAGCAAGTTACATCCAGTTCTGAACATGCACAGTCTGAACAAACAGCAGCGCACTGGAAGAAACGATGAAGTTGGTTCTTAAATGGTTTTGTTTAAAAATAATCTAGGACTAAATGTCATAAATGCCTTGGCCACTTTGTGGAAAGCAACAACAAACTACTTCAAAAACAAATATGACAATGGGCTAACAAGGTTTCTATGCTCCTAGAGCATTAGTTAGTAGATTCAACCATGGCAGAAGTCAGTTAATGGCAATAAAAAACCCCCAAATAACTAACAAAAAAAATGCAGAAAATACTCCCTGTTTGATCTTGGGGTTAAACCAGAAGACAAAAAACCTCGGAAAATCTGCCCAACCTTTTGAGAAGAGGCAGAAGTCCATCTGACTGACTCCATGTGTTCAAGGCACCATCATTAACTTCATTCTCTATTGCAGACACTCAGACAAGCTCAGTGTCTATGTGACCTCACCACGATGAATAATGCATTAATGGACTTCCAGCAAACACCAGGACAAGCAAAAGTGCTCTCTGTTTTCATACCAAGGGATGATTAAAACATTTTTACAACAGCTTATGATTTCCAGTCAAGAAAGGGATTTTATAAAATATGATAGGGAAAATAAACTGATACCAAAACCGGTTAAGCAGGTTACACTGTCGTCATTCAAAAAAATTAGCTGCTGTTACAGATTTACTTACTGTTTTTAGCCTCTATCTTCACCATTTTAATTATGTACACTCATTTTATTGATATCCATACTGCAATGAGGTTTGCAACAGATACACTGGAGGAGAGGAAATACAATTCCTTTCACGGATCAATTACTGTTGCATTCTCCTTCCTGACTTTCCTTAGCAGACCTTGTCCATCAGAACATCTGTTCAAGCCCAAAAAGTGAAAGTCATCCTTTGCATCCAATATGGCCACTTATTCCCTTTAAAACAAAAATACTTCAACTTGCCTGTAATTTTGCCCCTCCTACCTAGTCTTTTTTGCAGAGCTGGAGTCATCTCCTCCTACACTGACACTGTTTACAGCTTTGTATTTAAAACAGTTGGCATGTAAGTCATGATTCTTTTGCAAATCATTATCTCCAGACCCTACCAGCAAGCTGCAGGCTTTAAAAAAAACGCCACAGAAACCAACACTGTAAAAAAGAAACCCACTCCTTTTCAAAAATTGCGCACGATCCGTGATTAAACTGCACAGTTGTTCTTTGCGGGGATTTTTTAATATCCATACATATTTATTTATTTAACACTGTAAGTCCTATTCTAGCATGGCAGACAAATTAAACATTCCTTGAAAGCTTGACCCAGCCTTCTTGATCCGCAATCACTGCAATAACAGCCTACCCAGCAGAGAGAAGGCTGGTGCACATCTGAGCTCACAAGCGTGCCGTGGAGTTTGAAATACCCAGCCACGCTGGGAGAAGCAAGCATGCTTTGCACTCCTATGATGCAGTTCCAGTCACAGAACATGTTTTTAAGGAAGTGCTCAGCATTCACACGATTGCTTCATCGCTATGCTATAGGCATTCTGACACTGCTTGTGGCATGCATTATACGGATGCTTATTAAACCACAGGGAAAGCTGACTCTGGGGTCATCCAAAATTCACTCCAGCATCAGTGTATTTTGGGCAAGACAGGCACGCTATTTTCAAGAAGAGTTGTGAGGCTGCTTAGGAAATCCCTGGCCAGACCTGCAGTGCTCATGGTGATGAGTAAACATGGTACCTATAAGCATAAACTTGACGCAGCAGCTTTAGCACAATGGTAGACAGAGTATCCAAGAAGGCTGAAACTGAGCTGGCATTTGTCCTAGATGCTCTTCTCAAGCAGCTTCTTTTAGCTTCTCCTTTACTTATTCAGATAGCCACGTTTGCATTTTTGCACCCAGCCAAGACGGTCCCAGAGCAGAAAATCAGGGACTAGGCAGGAAAGAAAACATGGGCCCACAGCGTGCCTTTGGATCGCACACTAGCTGTTTAGGAACAGTGGTGCATCTGTATCTGCCCTTCTGCAGAGTAAGTCACCCCATGTTTTAGAAAACACATACCATAGCTGAGTCTTAACAACAGATTTCATTTTGGACTTGAATTATTTTCAGAGCAACACCAGAATTTAATACATAAATTTTATCAAATCCTAGCTGCAATCAGGTCAGTCCCATACTCTGCTGTAGTTTCATGGCCCTCCAGTTACAGCTGATTTTGCTGTCTGACATTAACAGGGCATCCTCACTTTCTCTCAAAACAAACCCTTAGTTTTACTGCTCTGTTTAATCCCTCCTCTCTCCCTTCTGCTCCACAGACAGACAGCTCAGTAATACTGCTACTCTCAGTACATTCTTTTTCCTTCGCTACTTGAAGTAGAGGAGTTTCTACCTCTTACTGTCACAGCTGCACCTCTGCATGGCCACACACCAAAGAGCACAGATTTATTCATACACACACCCACTGACTGCTCTGAGATGTATTTTCCTGCCTTATTTGCTAGTACCTTCATTGAAAGACAAGAGGGAGCTGGAAAGCTGGTGCCTGAGGGATGCCAATATATTCTCTCTTACATGGGAGAAGGAAAAGCATCAGCAGCAACTTGGATGTAGTCAAACCACACACAGTGCATATTTTGGGGAGGGATGAAGATGGCTACGGCTACCTTCTGCAGTTGGACAGTCCTGGCTTGCTCTGTAAAGAGCTCACTTAAGTATGGACCATATTTTTGGGCTGTTCTTTCAGATGATCTCACTTGCAACCCAGTGTTGTTACTCCAAAACTTAAAATCTGGCACAGAGGTAGGGTAAAGGTGCCCAGCTCATGCTCTCCTAATCCAGACAATAAGCATAAAAGCATCAAAAATGGAGTAGCAGGAAAGTCACCTCCTCATCAACTCTGTGAGCTCCATCTCAAACCTGTGTTGAAGAGATCCTCTCAGGAATAAACACAGTGAAGTCTAAGGAGAGCGACCTGCAGATACGTGACCACCTGCGGTTCTGACATTTGTGCCCAGCTCAGGCAACCCAGGACAAGAAACTTTTAGCACAAACGAGAAGAAAGAGTAGACATCTGTTGTTTGGGAAATCTGTTCTGAGCTGGAACATGCAGAGTAACAGCAAAGCTTCAAAGTAATACACATTGTTTCACAGATTTCCTTGTCAAGAGATCTTGCAAGAGGTGTGAACATAACAAAATGTCATCATTTCTCTCAGCTCAATCCATACAAATCATTGCCCTCAGATCTAGATACAGGTTTCCAGAGCAAGCAGATAAAACAGAATCTCATAGCCTAGTGGAGCATTTTCTCCCACCACACAAACAATCCCGCTATCTTTTTGCGGGGATGTCTGTTACAAACTCACATGAAAAGGCCCACGGGTACATGACATTGCATGCATAGAGAGAGGAATGGCAGAAGCAGAAGATCATAGAAGTCACAGGAGCTGCATAAAGCATATTCTTTATTCCCTAAAATCAATACCATTGAAAAAGCAGCATTGACCTCTCAGTCCTGAAATATTAAAAGAATTATTTATTTGAAACCACCTTTAAATCACCTTCATTTAGGGACTGCTCTTCAACTGGCAAAACATTTTACTTGGTAATTGTTTTTGTCCCTCAAACTCTATTTTGTCACTATATGACTATCTACACACATATACATGCATATGTATACAGATAAGCAGTGCATAAACAAACCTGTAAGGTTTCCCCATCCACACATCTCTCACTGGTTTGCAGAGTTGAGATCTGTGATGCTTGGCTTTGAAAGAACTCACCTTAGGTTTTTCTGCATGTTTGAGAGTCTTTGTCACGTCACCAGCGCTCTCAGATGACGATGCCCCCTGAATCCTGGCTCCATCTCCGGACTCCAAGCCAGGAAGCAATGCTTGTGAACAGCTGCAGTGGGGTTCCTTCACCTTCTGACCAGAGATCAGGTAGGTCTTCAAACCTACAGAATAAAATATAAACGAACACTAAGAACAGCAGAAGGACAAAAACAACTCTCCTTTGGACTTCTCAGATATGAAATACAATAAATATCAAAGCACTATCAAGGCTTGGGAATACAGCAGACAAAAAAGGGCAGTGGCTGGGAACAACCACCAGGAATATAAAGATGCTCTGTGTAAAGTGGCAGCAGTGAGGATTGCCCAACATCTGCTGTCCCCGACACAGGGGACTCCTCTAACACAGCCACAGCCAGGACTGACGTGTACTTTCTTTATTCCATTTTCACTCACGTACTTCTGAAACATAGAGCTAAGACCTTATGTATTCGCTTCCAAATTGTAATCTGAGCTCTCATATTAACTCTTTACTTCTAGAAAGGATTTGGAGCCCATTTTTCAGTGATATCTGTGTTAATATTCTACTTCTGAAAAATCTGCATGTATTCCTCCACTTGCACTCTCCATTTGTCAGAGAGATGTTGTGAAGATTGCTTAATGCACACTGAGAAAGGAAATGGTGTTTAAGTGCTAGAAATTCTGATGGGTTTTCATAGTTAGTGCAGACTTCACATTTTTAAAGAACAAAATCAATCTCTCTCTCTCTCTCTCACACGTACGCCCACACATGCTCTCTGCAACTGTTCTATGAATTGAAGCATAATTGGAAAGCAGATTCAATATTAAAGGCCAGGCTGGTAAATACCATGTTGTATCAAGCTGAGCTGTATCAAAAACCTGTTCAAAAAAGAAAAGATCTCAATTTTGTTTAGAATATCGCTTATTTTACTTCCTTGAAACTTTGCATTACAATGTTCTGGGTTATTTCCAGGCATAAAGACCAAGAAGGAGCTACTAATCACACTGCCTTCTGAATTCAAATGAGTTCACTTTATTGCCGCTGTACAGGAAGTCTCCCACTCAGCAAGGAAGGGCACTGATGTGCTCTGAAAAGCGTGGAGGTCATCAGCCCACAGAACTGGAAAGCGCCCGTGATTTTGTGGTACCGGAGGCTGTTGTCCCATGGGATTCTGCAGCGACCTCTCGCTCACGGGATGGCTGTGGGTTCTGTATTTGGGTCAGCTGCGCATCACCCCCTCCCTTTCTCCGATACTTGTCACCCAGCTGCAGCCAGACACATGACTGTCACTGCCAGCGACCATGCTAGATTGCCTCTGACCGCAGGATGAAAGCTGGAAAGTACCACGTCAAGTTGCAGCCCTTGGAAAAGGGCAGGTTTCTGGTCCTTATGATAAGGTCATCCTCTCATAACCTTTACAAACAGAAAACCATATTCTAGAAACCTTTTTGTTGTCTGTAGGATGCAACAGTACTTTGTCTGCAACCTTTCCAATAAAAATAAGTAAGACATACAAACAGTAACTCTGCAGTTTCTTTTATTCCAGTAGTAACTTCAGCTCCTGAACACTTCTACAACCAACACAGAAACCTGCATCCGTATCGACCATTTTAACCTGGGGCTCCCGAGCTGCTGGAAAAGCTCCGGTGTTCTCACAGCCTCTCCAAGCGCTGGAGCACTCGCTCGCATATTTGAGATGTTACGCCGTAGCCAATCTTTATTTTTCTATCACTTATAGTAGCGTTTGCATTTTATTTGGCAGTGCCGCTTAATAAAACCCTGAGCTGCTGCTGGCTTCCAGATGTAGGGCTGCCTCTTTAAAACTTACATTGATGCGGGCTGTCGTTTAAGAAATTCACCACAATCAGCTTACAATTACATGTTTACTGTGGTAAAAGCTAGAGCATTAAGCTTACTCCTATTTTTAAAAGCTACCTTGAAGCAACAGGATTACTTTAACACTGCTATTACTCCTCTGTTTTTTCCTAAACAAACATACTTTCTTTGTTTTCTGTACTTTTGAAAAAGCACTTTTTCTGCCTTGCTGTGCTGTGCAGGGTAATTATTTCATCAATCTGTTGCATACAGTAAAATAATCTCCAGTTTGAGCCCCACACCGAGGAAAAAAGGGAAGAGGCTTTAGTACATCAGTAATTGAAAACGCATTTGGGAAAGCAGAACGCACCCTCGCCCAACCTGAAACCACAGCGCTGCGGCTCCTCAGCCCCGCACACCCCTGGTCCTTCCCACCCGTGGCAAGGCAAACCCCCCAGCCCAGCGCTGCGATTTGTACCCATGGCTGCTCGCCTCCGTTCTGCCTCACGGGCTGCAGAGCTGCCCCAAACGGGTGGTTGGCGGCACCAAGAACCGACGACCAAAATCTCTTTACTGCTTCCTCAGCGCCACCACATCCTCCGAACAGGGAGTGTTACTCAAAACGGGTAATTTGAAAACAGACAAAGAAAAGCCAGTATCTGGCACAATCACAGCACATGTTTAGTCAGAAGTCAGCAGGGCTACTCCTAGCGCTGAATGAAAGGGCAGGGTCTCAGGAGAGCAAGTAAGGAATAAAGGTTATTTTTGGAAAGTTTTGGAAAATTAGGAGGGGGGAAAGTCTTTCAGCTTTACAGAACTTCTCTAATGTTGCCTACCTAATCCTTTATTTGTTATTAAATCCTTATGACAGGAAAATTCAATTTGCTTCAGTATTCCTTGCAACTCTGTGACACTTCACAAAGCAACTCCTACGTTCAGTCTGAAATATTTCGGTATAAAAACAGGGTCATTCATTCAGCAGAACTGTATTGATGTAACTAAAACGTATTATACAAGAACAATATTCTTCCTCTTTCTACATCTCCAGTGAATTAGCACAATCAACACTCATTTTCCACACAAACGGTGTATGGAGTGAAAAGCGTTCACATCACCATGCACACTTAAATCCGTTAGGCAACGCAACAATATTAAATGAACAAGCCAGCAATGAGGAGCTGCTTGTTTATGTGAAAACCAGCAAACATGGTGCAATTTTTGGTGTGCGTTGCTGCGCAACGATGTAACTCAATACAAGGCAAAGAAAAAAGTGTTATGAGATGCTCCTACTGCCATTTATAAAGGCAAAGCTCACCCTTTTCCCCCTTCTGCCATTCTCAATCTTACACTCGTTCCCTTCCCCTAAATTTATTCAAAAGAAATGCTGAAAACCAAGACAACCTCAAACTGCCTGACAGCAAATCTGTACCCTGGCAGGCTTTATCCTGCGGCACATCCCTGCTTTTTTCAGGGCTGTCTCTTGGAAGCAAAGAGAAGGAAGTGGCTACAGCAGCCCACCTCAGCACACTAATCTCATGTATATGGTATTTTCTGCCCTGGGTTAAAAATGAGCCACATCGTTTATCTTTGAGAAACCCAAGCCAATTTCCTTCACTTGTCCTCAAGTTCTGAAAAACCTGTAAGTGTTGTAGAGAGTAGCAGCTCCTGCACGCTGAGCCAAAACACTCATTCTGTGAATTCAACCATTTTGAATATTGACATGGCAGCGTCTGTAAAGTGTATTTTTGACAAAATAATTAGCAGTTGCAACCTCCATAGAGCTACAGCGGGTTTATTAGTCCTACTACCGTTGAATTTCAGAAGCATTAGGTAATTTCTGTACTCGGCTCCTTTCTCCAGCTTCTCTTTCTATCAGCAGCATTTCTCTCAACTTATAAAACCAGAAAACCATTCGAAACACTCAGAAATACTGACAGCAATTTTCAGAAATCATATGCAAGCACTGCATACAAAGTATCTTCTCTACGCACAAAAATAAACATGAGTACAAATAAGGCTGCGTACAAACACCTCAGTCTTCAGCCTGGTTTTGGTAGCGTGAGAAAACGCGGTTGTTGCTGAGCAAACGGGAAGTTCAGTAAAGCGGGCGCAGGCAGGGGCAGGCAGGGACTGGGGCTCCCTGCTTGCACCCGGCCTCCTCCCTGCCTGCTCCCAGCTTACACTGAGATGGGCCCGGCTGGAGCGACTCTGCCATCCTTGACTGATGGTGGGTTTGCAGAGAAAAACCGTGCCAGGTAACTGGTGCAAAGTCACTTGCTGGGACAGAATGGGGAAAGGGGGAGAAAAGATGTTCTGGTGCTTCCAGTCCTTAATTAAGTCACTAATTTCCCTTCCTTCAGTTCCTTTACCCCTATGACTTCAGGACAGAAGCTGCTGTTACGCCGGTCCAATCCAATTTTTACATTTTTACAGCAGAGAGCATCCCTCCATGTGTCTTTTAAAGATGGGATATCTCCTCCTACAGGAGATCTCAACAGATGGGGGATTAATACAAACGTTGGTAAGCAATTCCTTGGTGAGAGAAGATTCAAATTTTAATTTTTGATGCTTTACTTGTATGGAATTGAAGCTTTCCAGCCCTCTCTTGATAGCGGACAGGAAAATCACTTTCTCTGGGGCAAACTGAATGTGTCAAACTTCTCACATCTCTATCTAATGAACTTCAAATGCTTTTGAAAGCCTTTCAGCACTGATTCTATGAGACCAAAAAAGAGAAGGCAGTATTTCAAACATGCTCATACCGATTCATTTAATAACAATATAATCCCACTCTTATTACATATCCCTGTTCCATGAATCATTTCACCTTTTCAGCTGCACTATGAGGAAACAGCATTTAACAAAGAGGTGACCTTCCTTCTCAGAGTAACTCCTTCCAAGTACACAGCCCTCTCCTCTACAAGATGTGAAGCATTCCTCACAGTGATGTCATAAAATCCAAATTATATTAATTATGCTCCTTTTACCAAATTGCTTTAATTAACAGTTCTCCTTCATTATTTATCTTTCCATCATTTCCCTTAGCATCTACGCAATTTAATAATTTAATTATATTTATTTCCAAATAATTAAGTATAAATTTACAAAATGAATTGAGCTCTATTTTCACAACCTTCTACTTTTGCAGTATCTTATGTCACAGAATTAGAATTCGCACGAAAACCGTTTCATCGTGTAAAAACCAATGACTGCCACCCTCATGTGAGAACAAGAATAACTTTCCGGCTAGAAAGTCACTTTAATCACCTGCCGCTGTCTGCCGTGATGAAGTGTTAGCTATTATCTTTCAATAATTTTATATATTTT